TGAGACAGGGAGCACCTGAGGCTCCATGGAAGACATTGGAGTAGTGCAGTGCAGCATCTGCCTCTAGACTGTGACAATTCCTTTTGTTTGCTGGGGAAAGAGGAGTACCCACAGAAACACCCCTCTCTGAGGCCCAGAGGCAAGATGTGGGGGCAGCTGGGGATGCTGAGAGTCCTGATACAGGTGGAATGGGGCCCCCACTTGGGACCTAATGGGTTAGGGTAGAACAAGTGACTCTCCCCTGGACCGGGGGATGGGAAGAGATATCCCATCTGATATCCGCTCCCCAGGTCCAGGGGCACAGACTTTTAACAGACCTACCTTCTGGCTCTCTCACAGTGGAAAGAGGATGGGTACCAGGCCTGAGATTGGGAGAGTGTCATTACCTTCTGGGAGTCTCAGGCAGATCACCATCTTGGACTTTCCTTGGCCCCACCCCCATCCCCAATTTGTTAGTGCATCTCTCTTCTGGGTGTGTTTCTTCACTTAAACGACGATGGTGTTGACGGATCTTGACTTTTTCTGTGAAAGAAAATGGACTGAGTCTCAATTTCAGGAAGGTAATAGGTGCCACCCTTTCTCTCCAGCCTCCCTCCATCTTTTTCTGCCCCTCTTTGACCTTCTTCCTTTCCCTGGCTGCCCCTCAGGGGCAAAAGCACCCTTTCTGCCCTCACTGGCCCCCACATCATCTGTCTTGTCCCCACTGGCCTTCCCTGAGGACTCTGTTCCCGTCCCTTTCCCTTCTGCTTGGGATTGTTGGTGGAGTCGTTGTCCTTGATGATGTCATACTGATGGCAGAACAGCCCAATTACAGCTGAAACACAATACAGTCTGAGCTTTCATCTCCCACAACAGGGAGAAACCCACATAGCTTCTAGAAAAATCCATGAAGAACATCCTGAATTCCTGGTGCCCAATGCAGTCCTCATCTTTGGGCTCTCAACAGCCTCCTCTCCCTCTCTTCAAACTAACGAATCATCCCTCCTCAACTAAGTATCACCCCACTCCATTTCTTTCACTTCTCTCTTTTTTTTTTTCTTTGAGACAGAGTCTTGCTCTGTCACCCAGGCTGGGGTGCAGTGGCGTGATCTCGGCTCACTGCAACTTTCACCTCCTGAGTTCAAGCGATTCTCCTGCCTCACCCTCCCGAGTAGCTGGGGTTAAAGGCATCCTCCACCACATCCCGGTAATTTTTGTATTTTTACTAGAGACGGGGTTTCACCATGTTGGCCAGGCTGGTCTCGAACTACTGACCTCAGGTGATCTGCCTCCCTCAGCCTCCCAAAGTGCTGGGATTACAAGCATGAGCCACCGAGACTGGCTCAATTCTCTCACTTCTTTTTCTCCTGACAACCTTTTCCACCTCCCACCTTAACTGAGTCCCTGGTCCCCTGTCTAGCTGCTTACTCACCAGCTCACATGAGCAACACCACCACAATGATGACCACTTCCCCAGTCTGCAGTGGTCGCTCTCCATCAAGACCCTCCCCTGTGATGTCACCTGAGAAGGGAGAAGGCAGACTCCAGGTTATTGGGGAATAGCTCTCTGTGCAGACATATGCAGGATGGAGATGCTGGGGATTAGAGAGGGCAGACCCATCATAATGTTGCCCTTGGAGTGTAGAGTAGCCCCTCCGTGGGAGGAAGCCATTGGTGGACAGGTGGTTAGCGACTAAAAAGCAGATGGTTGCAAGTTAATTACTCACTCATGCAGGCTGCAGCTGATGTGAAGTTGGGTAACAGGAAGCTTAGAAGCCCTTCCCCCGGAACAACTCAATACCAGCCTGTCTATACCCAGTCCCCTTCCCACCTGCTTTTCCTTCCTTTCCTGGTAGTACAATGGATTAAATCATCCTATTCATCTCAGCTGGATTGTTGCTTGTCTTGGGGAAGTAAGAAAGAGGCTGCAAGCCGGGTAAGCAGCCAGAGAATCCAATAGCACAGACCCTCACCTGGGCCTGAGCTGTTTGAAGTTAGCTGGTCAGAACCCTTGAGAGTTCGGAAGTGCACCCGGGGCCCTGGGGGGCTCTCTCCCCGAAGGCCGATGCTCCTGACCTACACTGTGTAGTCACTGTCTTCAGCCAGGCGTCAGAGGGTACCAGCCCGGGTGGTGGTGTTCACCTCCCAAATCACACGCTGCCCGGGGACATTCTGCCGCTGCAGGAAGATGAGGGAAGAGGAGACCAGCCTCAACCCAGTGCCAGGCCACAAGGCTCAACCGAGACTCCTCAACATCCAAGCACTCCGGGGAAGTAGCGTGAAAAGGGCAGCCTGAGCCAGGATAGCCTGCTTCCAGATCCCCCACCTAAGTGAAGGAATGTGCAGAAATCCAAGGACACAGGTTGGGGGAGCAGAAGGGTGATTAATACTTGCTGGGAAATGGAGTAGCCAATGACGATGTTGCCCTCTGGGACGTCCCAGGACACAGTGGCCGAGTTGGCTCTGAGGTGAGTGACGGTCGCATTCACAGGAGAGGGAGGCCGGTCTGCAGGAGCCAGAGTGTTAACAGGTTCACCCACTGACTAGCTCTGGTGGACCCTCAGCCCGGTTCCCCTTTACTCACCTACTGGCACGAACCCAGGTCACAGCTGACCAGCAGGAGGACCGTGGGGCTTAGATATGGGGAAAGGGGCAACAGCGAAGCCATGTCCCCACCGAGTCCGCTGGCGGGGCACTGGGGCATCCGCTTGACATCCAGGCGGGGCTCCTTGAGGTGGCAGGAGTTGTGGGAGGTCAAGGACTGCCCAGAACTCCCGGTGGTCGGGGGGCGGGGGCAGCACCTCTCCTGGGCTTTCCACAGCTCGCAACAGCCCTATTCCCCCCCACACACACGCCCTCCCTCCTCTGCATTGCCTGGGCGCCCCCAGAGCGCGGTCAGCCCTGCCCACACCCACCTCCACCGGTCCTCGCGGTCGATCAGGCTTCCGGGGGCTGCTCGGTGCCCAGAGGGCGGCCCATCGCCTGACTCGGTGGCTCTGTCCGTACCCCATCCTGACGCGGGCCCTCCGAGGCAGGCAGCGCGGAGCCGAGCTGAGGGCGGAGCGGGCGCGGGTCTGCGGAGCCCCCACAGCTCGGGCGGCGGGGGGAGTCTGTCCCGGAGCAGGGGGCGTTGCCCGGACGCTGGCCTGGGTCCGCGGTGCCGGAGGCAGTGCGGCGGCCTCCGCCAGTCCCTGCAGCGGGATGTGACCGTCCCGGAGAGCCAGCCGCATTCTGCTATGCTGGCCCTGCTTGCTCCGCCGGAGACCCACCGGGATCCGCGGGCCGCCGGGGTTCTGGCCGCCGTCATTTCCCTTTAGCCCCTCACCCCTGTCCTCTCCGGGCTCCTCCCACGACCCTCCCAATGGCGCCTCCGGGGCCCCGATCCCTTAGCCCTTCTCTCTCCCAGCTCAGGCAGCGGAGCCGGCGGGAGCGTGAGGGGAGGCTCCGGTGCGAGGGTCTCCGGTACCTGGGAGATCCCCTTCCTCCCCGCGTGGAAGAGCCAAGTTGGCAGGAGGAACTCCACATCCAGTGCCAGAGGGGCTAAGAGGAGAGGGGACAGAGTGATGGAGATAATAATTGCTTTAACAATCCCTTACTTATAGACTGGGTCAGCTTTTAAGTCTCTTTCCCATTCGTAATCTAATTACGTTCCCTTTCTCATTCATTCTTTCATTTGTTCAGCAAATGTTTATTGTGTTATGTGTCTGGTTAAAACCTGGGGACACAGAGATTAAGAGTGTTGGGCTTCTAGGGAGAATCAAAGCTCAGAGACCTATGGCTTTTTAAAACAAAATTGTTATTCCTTTCTTTTTGTCTTTTTTGTTTGTTTGTTTCGTATTGTTTTGTTTTTGTTTTTCTAAAGCTCTGCCACTTACCCTGTGGTTTTGGAGAAACTGGTTTATCTGTGCCGCAGATTTCCCACCTGTAAAGCAAAGCAAATGAAACCTCAGGGTTGTTGTGAGGCTCAGATGAGACAATGTTGGGGAGAGATCTTTATAAATCTCACAACACCGTGTGAATAGATGGTGATTGTAAATTTGCACCAATGTTTTGGTTCCTTCCTTTGTTCAATAAGCATGTAAGCCCTTAAATTATTTCATGCTTTGGTTGAGCTTCAAATCTGGAGTGGGAACCTGGGTGTGAGTCTGAATTTGTCCAGCTGAGTGACCTTAAGCAACCAACTCAACTACTCTGTGCCTGTTTCATCATCTGAAAAATGAAGGTGTCAATATTGACCAACGTCTTAGTCTTGGTGTATCCCATGAGATACTGTCTGTGAAAAGTGTGTTGTTCAGTGTAAACAGATGCTGGCTAGCATTGTGTTTAGGGCAGACCCTTTGGTTTCTAATTCTCCATGCAGTATTCCTGTCTCTGTGGCATTTTTCCAGCTGTAATGTCCAGTACAGTGTGTGCACACTTGGGGCTCAGAAGCTTCTGCTGCCTTCCTTTCTGAGAGGAGAGGGTAAAATGGGACCAGTGGGACTTTGCCTGTGGAGCATGTGATCAAGTCATGGGCCAGGTCCTCTGACTTCTGCTGACCTGGCCACCCTGATCTCTGGCCTTGGAGGACACCTGCCCAGGGATTCTCACTGCCCTGGGTGTTGTCCTGTACTCCCAGGCTCTAGGTCCTCAGGAGAAGAGGGCATTGTCCCTGTAGAGCAAGAGTCAGGAGCCTCAAGTCTACCCCTTCAGGGGCCAAAGCAGAGGCTGCAGAGTCAGGGTACATGCAAAGAGGAGTTTTCCTGAGGTTACCAGAGGGCTGGGGGCCTAGTCATCAGGAAAGGGTGGTGCAGGCGGTGGTACAGGGGGTAGTGCCCTGAGAGCCCAGGGTGCTTCAGTTAATCATCACTGTGGCTCAGATAAGGCCCTGCCAACTGGAAGCAGAGTCACTGTGACCAGAGGGGTTTGTGTGGCTGAAGAGGCAGGCAGAACAGTGTATCCACAGTGCAGGACCATGCCAGCCACAAAATGGTTTCAACATGTCATTGAGACCCCAGAGCCTGGCCAGTGGGAGGTGAGACCCTTCTCCATGTTGGCTTTCCGTGCTGATTCCTAAAATTGTTTTTCATCCAGTCTTCTGTCAGACCTGGGTTTCTGCTCACCTCTTTTTCCTTCCTGATGTTCTTTCCTTAATATGCCCAGAGTATCAAGTGCAGGCTGAGTTTCCGGTGTGGGGGGTGTGTGTGTGTGTGTGTGTGAGAGAGAGAGTCCAAACTCCGTGCCTGCTGCCACTCCCACCTCCAGCTCAGCAGGCATGAATGAGGCTGTGGCTTCCTGCTCCCTCCTTGTCCCCTCTTCCTTCTAGTTGTCTGGGTATGAGGCAGCTGTGCCAATCACAGAGAAGTCAAATCCACTGACCCGGGACCTAGACATAGCAGATGCTGAGAAAATTGTTCGACTGCTGGGGCAATGTGATGCTGAGATCTTCCAGGAGGAGGGGCAAGCTCTGCCCACATACCAGGTAACCCAGACCCATGTCCTGGACCCTGCAAATAAACATGCCAACCCCAATCCCACCTCTGCCCTCCCTGACGGTGGCTCCTAATACTGGAAACCCTGAGACCCCCTCCCCAATCCACCGTCCTCCTCGTCTTGGCTTCTGATTCCTGCCTGTCCCCTACAGAGATTCTATAGCGAATCTGTTTTGACCACCACGGTACAAGTGGCCGGGAAAGTTCAGGAAGTGCTGAAGGTACAACCTTCCTTCTGCTCCCTGCCTCAACTTTTCTGCTTCCCTCTTTCTCTTTCTTTAGTCTCTATTTCTCACTTTTGCAGAACTCATTCTCCTTTCTCTCTTTTGGAGATCCTCCCTTTTGGATCCTTATTTTCATCTTATTATTAATAATAACTTAGGCTGAACGTGGTGGCTCACGCCTATAGTCCCCGCACTTTGGGAGGCCGAGGCAGGTGGATCACGAGGTCAAGAGATCGAGACCATCCTGGTCAACAAGGTGAAACCCCGTCTCTACTAAAAATACAAAAATTAGCTGGGCATGGTGGTGCACACCTGTAGTCCCAGCTACTTCGGAGGCTGAGGCAGGAGAGTTGCTTGAACCCAGAAGGCGGAGGTTGCGGTGAGCCAAGATCGTGCCATTGTACTCCAGTCTGGGTAACAACAGCGAAACTCCGCCTCAAAAAAAAAAAAAAAAATAATAATAATAGTAACAAGTTATCTGCTTAACACTTGTAATTGACAGTCTACTTTCACAGCTATTACCTCACAAAAACCGGTGAAGTTGACATGATTTTTGTTTGTTTGTTTTTATCAGGTGAAAAAACAAAGACTTAGAAAGATAATCACTGTAGCTTGTCAAATACACTCAGCTAATAATTGCTGGATAAGGCTGCTTTTATTATGTGCTTTTATTTAGATGACAAAGCTGCTTTCCTTCTTTCAGGGATAAGTAAGGATTTGAATAAGTAGTGGAGCAAGACCTGGGAGTCAAACTGGTTTCTCTAATCCGGTGTTCTTTTTCTACACTACACTGCATGTATTTGTTCACTTTTGTGATGAGAGGAGGGATAAGGAGCCTTTTCAGTTCCTCTTGCATTACTGACAAAGAATATGCTTCCCCCAACCTAAGCCAGGCCCTGGTGATATACGCCTTTTTCCTTCTTCAGGAGCCAGATGTATTGAGTGGAGGGGGCACCTCTGGCCGGATGGCATTCCTCATGTCAGTGAGCACCGTGGTCCCCGGTTTTCTTACCTCTCCACTTCTTGAGGTGACCCTCAGGACCATAAAGATCACCATAACTGAGCTCCCAGGGCCCCCCTCATTAGACCTGGACTCCAAGCGTGGCTCTCTCTCTCTTCCAAAAGCTAGGCGTCACCATGAAGTCCCATTTCTTCTGAGCCCATCTGAGTCCCACCAGTCTGTTGTCAATGTCTCTACATCCCATGCACTGCCAACTAATCATCCCCAAGTGGCTGCTTTAAGCGCCAGATTCCATGTAGGACTGGGTTAAGCACTGGTCTAAGAGAATCATTATATAGTCTCTGTCCTCTAGGAGTTGAAAATCCAAGATAATTGTTTCTTCTCTGTCATTACCCCTTCACATCCTCTCCCCTTCACACATGTCCTCTAATCAGCTGATGAAGGGTCTGGGACAGAAACCTCTTTACACCTACCTCATTGCAGGGGGTGACAGGTAAGCCAAGTTAGGCTGTGAATATTTTGTTTGGCCTGAATAGTGCTTCTTAGAAATTGAGCTGAATGCCTTTAGGCAGAGATTGAGTCCAGCTTGCCTTAGTCCCCCATTCCTTACTGCCTTACACTTGGTCCACTTTATATACTTATCTCGCCTGACCGGCTGTTGTAGGTATTTGGGTTATTTGGGTTTTTCAACTCTATGGAGTGTCTATCATGGTGCCCAACAAACAGTGGGTGCTCATTCAATGATAGTTTTCCCTTTATTCCCATCTCTTAATGTAGCCTGCCCTAATAAACCATAAGCTTCTGCTTCCCAGCCAGTGCCACTGACCTTGACTCTGTGGTGGCCTCTAGGGAGGGGACGGAAGATAGTGCCTTGCACGCGATTAAGGAACTGAAAAAGGTCTGTGCTTCCCACTGATACTTGACCAGAGACCTCTATCTGTTCCTTCTCATGGGGACATAAAAGCCCCAGCATTCAGCCAAAGCCTATTCCCTCTCTCCCCTGTTCCTGGCCCTGATACCCTCACACAGTAGGTTTGTGCCTGGAATCCTCCCATTTACACTGCGTTGTCCATCCTCTTCTCCTAGGTGGATGCCGGGAAGAAGAGGGTGATTGTCGTTCACATTTCTGTGGGACTCTCTGTGAGTAGAAAGATGGGTTGAGTGGATGAATTTTAGAGAGAAGAAGTGAGTGGGAACGGAATAGCATGGAAGATAGATCAATGAGGTGGGTGCTAGAAAGCAGGAAGTTTGCTCAAGGAATTTCGGTTTTCGTTTCACTAACTTGGATCGAGTTGTATGAATGTGGGAAGATGGGGAAGGGATTCAATTTGAGAATAACTGTATCAATCAATCAGCAACCAAGAGAGGTGGACTGGTCCAAGGGTAAGCAAACTATACCGGCTGGCCAATGCAGCCAGCTGCCTGTTTTTTAAATTTTTTCCTTTTATTGAGACTGAGTCTTGCTCTGTCACCCAGGCTGCACTGCAATGGCATGATCTCATCTCGCTGCAGCCTCCACCTCCCATGCTCAGATGTGGTTCTATGCATGAGCTGTCTGGGGGGAGTGTTACAGAAAAATAAAAAAGATTCTTAGTTCCTTGTGCGAGAGGTCTGGTTTTGTAGGTTTGGAGTAAGGCCCTGAAATATCTATTTTTTGAAAGCATCCCTAGAGATTCTGATGCAGAGCCAGAACTGGGGAACTCTGCTAAATAAACCATTGGAGTGGGCCACCTGACAAAGCTGAGGGCTTCCTGACACCAGAGGGGTATGGCAGAGGCTTGTTGAAAATTTTAGAGCAGCTTTTTTTATTTAGTGGCGGTCTTGGGAAGGGAGACCAGCGGATTTTTCAAAGGTGCTTTTCCACCTCCCAGATTCTAGGCTGTATAACTCATGTGAAGGTGTAAATGAATCTGAAATACCCTAACCCTGATCCTTTTCATGAGGGCCCTCCTTCACCAAAAATGTATCTGCTGCAGTGGATGCTAATTTCAGGCCTGATGACTAAGTGAAATGAGGAATTTCAAAACAGTGTAGGCGTGGAGATCTTCCAGTTGTTTCTTAAATCAGTAGCTCCCAAACTTGGCTGATTTTCAGTCATCTGGGAAGCTTTCTAAAAATACAGATTTTGGAGCTCCATTCCAGAACTACTGAATCTGAATCTTAGGGTGGATGTGGTACCCAGAAATGGCTAGTTATTAAAAAACAAAACTCCCCAGATGATTTAGATGCCCAGCTGTGTTTAGGAATCTAGACGTTAAACCATCTAATATGAACCCTATCTCTGCTTTCTGCTTTAGTTTCCTCTTTCTTAGATCTCTAGCAAGTTTCAGAAATAGTTTGAGGACAAATGACAGGACACATTTTACACCATGGGCATAAAATATGTGAAACTCCTCTGCCCTAGCAGTGATACAAAAATAGTTCAAGAAGGGATGGAACCTTCGCAGGATTGGATGGTAAGGCAAAATGTGGGGTGTCATGTACAGAGGTAACCAACTCTTTGAGGTCCTGCCATAATGGGCGATTCACAAATTATCCCCTAGCAAAGCCATTAGAAATCAACTAAAGAAGATCCTCATTCTTTGAGATTCCATGATTTGTAACTAAGCAGATAACAAGTCTGCCTCATTAACACATTCATTTGTTCCTGATTAATTCATTCAAGGAACGTTTGGCAACCGTGAGGTGCTACACCTACCTTGCAGCTTGGTTCCCTCACCATCATCCCTCCCTCCATTACTAGGGGTTCACTCTTTGGAGGGATTTCCAGAATGTATTTCCATGAATGGCAAGGGCTTCTGATGAACCTTAAGATGGAAAATAGGTGGCAACTTTGACATTTGAATGACAGGCATTCCCTAAGAGGCCTGCAGAGGGTGAGGTTAGTGTGGCCATGGCATTGGGGCTTATGCAAGACAGTCTGGGTCTCAGGCTGGAACTTTAAACTTGAGTATTGGCTTTGCTCTGGGCTTGAGGTGCTGAATGTTTTATTAACCCCCGTCCTTGGGGTTCAGGGACACAGTGCCTCTAAAAGCTCCAAAGCATACGTTTATGTGAAGTTGTTGACCTCTGACCTCAATCCCAAAGCAGTCCTTGATCATGACTCCCAGCTGAGGCCCTTCTTTGAAATCCTCATAGACAATCTCCCCACCTTGTGTCTCTCTGGACCCCAGAAATGACCCCATTGAAGACTGGAGTTCAACATTCCGACAAGTGGCAGAGCGGATGCAGAAAATGCAGCAGAAACAGAAAGCTTTTGTGCTCAATCCTGCCATCGGGGTAGGGCTTCTCCTTTTCCTATGTTCTCCAACCCGCCAACACCTGGGAACTGCTTGCCACTTCCTTGGGGCCTCTGATTTTAGGTTCTTTTACATCTTGTTTAAATTCCTGAGGCTTTGTGAGTCAGCTAAGATGTTATAAACCAAATCCTATTTTCCCATTTACTTTTTCACCTTAAGATATTTGTCTTCATTCCTATCCTGTCTCTCAAACCGATAATCATTAAACACTTTAGTGGTCTGGGCAGTTTCTGTAAGAAGCTCTTTGCCACCTATGTATAGACAGTGGTGAATAGCCACAGTTATGTCTCAGTCTGTTTGTCTTACATATTTACATTTTAAATATGGGCTTTAAAAAATGGGGTGCAGTTTTGTTTCATTCTGCCTTCTGAATCCTCTCCAAAATTGGCTGGTCCTTCTTAACTTTAAAGCTGTTTTCTCCTGTGTCTTTTTTCTCATATGGATTGCGGATATATTTCACTAGCACCATTTCTCCTCACTTGGGCCTTAGGAGGGCCTTAGCCAAATTCTAGCCGGTGCCTCCCTCTACCAGTGATAGAGACATTCTCCTCCATCTTCCTTTTGTGAGATAGGAAGGTAGAATTCCGTATGATGTAAGAATTCCATAGCTTTGACCTCCTAAATACTCGTCTCTCTTTCCTCCTCTCTGCAAATGTTGACTTTCAATCTTCTTTTCTCATCATTACTGTTATCATTCTGTTTGCTGGAATCTCTTTGCTGTCCGGTGTGCTGTGTTCCACATCTGGACCCCTGTCCAAAGCATATGACATGTGATATTTGGATTGATAAACTACCACAGAAAATGGTAGAGGTGGGGGAGAAATTTCTTAGAAAGAAAAGCACTCTCTGGGCCGGGTGTGGTGGCTTACACCTGTAATCCCAGCACTTTGGGAGGCCAAGGTGGGCAGATCACTTGAGGTCAGGAGTTCCAGACCAGCCTGGCCAACACAGTGAAACCACATCTCTACTAAAAATACAAAAATTAGCTGGGTGTGGTGGCAGCTTCCTGTAATCTCAGTTACTCGGGAGGCTGAGGCAGGAGAATCTCTTGGATTTGGGAGGCAGAGGTTGCAGTGAGCCAAGATTATACCACAGCACTCCAGCCAGCCTGGGCGACAGAGCAAGACTCTGTCTCAAAGAAAAAAAAAAGGAAAGTACTTTATGAAAAACCCTTGACCCAGCTGACAAGAGACCCAATCACTGTGACTTCCTCCCCAGAGGGGCCTAAATATATACCCAGGAATGACCAGAGCAGGCCTTTTCCCTCTTTCTAATCTTCCTCTGAGTCAAGCCCACCCCAGCACCCTTCCTCACAGGCACACTGGGGGCCAGCAGTACCATCACATGCACGCCTGGGGGTCACTAACAAGCGGTCTCCGGAGTCTTCATCCTCTCCCAATTCCTCTTGGGTGTCTTCACGTCATTCAGCCTGAGGGACTCAGCGGCTCCTCCCGGATGAAAGGTGGAAGTGCCACCAAGATCCTGCTGGAAACCCTGTTATTAGCTGCCCATAAGACTGTGGACCGGGGCATTGCAGCATCTCAAAGGTAGGGAGGATCTGGACAAGAGAGAGCTCAGTCAGGTGAGTGTGAGATGGTGTGGATGGGGAATGGCAGGTCTAGACCCAAGGACTGGGCTGGTGGCAGTAAGACTGCAGCCCACCATGCCTCCCCGGAAAGGGAGCTGGCGGCGACATGCTGTTGCTCCCACCATGTAGTCACAGAGTCCAGATTGTCTCTAGTGGATCCTGGATTTCTCAGGCCCAGACCTAATCCCTGAGCCTGCCTGGAATCTCCAAAGCTAGCCTGGCTCCCGAGGGTCCTTTGATTTGGGGACCTATATGTTCCATGTAACGTTCTAAGTGCTGGGAATATAGCAATGAACAGAAAAGACAATCCCTGGCTGGGTGCAGTGGCTCATGCCTGTAATCCCAGCACTTTCAGAGGCTTAGGCAGGTGAATCTTGGGGCCAGGAATTCAAGACCAACTTGGCCAACATTATGCAACCCCATTTCTACTAAAAATACCCCCAAGATTAGCTGGGCATGGTGGTATGCACCTGTAATCCCAGCTACCTGGAGAGTCGAGGCAGGAGAATTGCTTGAATCCAGGAGGCAGAGGTTGCAGTGAGTCAACATGACTGCATTCCAGCCTGGGTGACAGAGTGAGACGATCTCAAAAAAAAAGTCCCTGTCTTCATGGTGCCTACATTCTAGGATGGTGAGAAAGACTTTAAATGAGAAAACTTATTGTATGTTGGATAATGATAAGTGTGGTTTTGTTTTGTTTTTTTGGGACAGAGTCTTGCTCTGTCACCCAGGCTGGAGTGCAGTGGCGCAATCATAGCTCACTGCAGCCTTGAACTTAAATGAGCACCTCCTGGTGATTTCTTTTTTTTTTTTTCTTTTTTTTTGAGATGTAGTCTCACTCTGTTGCCCAGGCTGGAGTGCAGTGGCGTGATCTTGGCTCACTGCAACCTCTGTCTCCTGGGTTCAAGTCATTCTTCTGCCTCAGCCTCGTGAGTAGCTGGGACGACAGGCGCACACCACCACACCCGGCTAGTTTTTGTATTTTTAGTAGAGGTGGTATTTCACCATGTTTGCCAGGCTAGTCTCAGACTCCTGACCTCATGATTGACCCACCTCAGCCTCCCAAAGTTCTGGGATTACAGGTGTGAGCCACTATGCCTGGCCAATTTCTTTCTTTCTTTTTTTTTTTTTTTTGAGATGGAGTTTCCCTCTTGTTGCACAGGCTCAAGTACCATTTCACAATCTTGGCTCACTGCAACCTCCACTTCCCAGGTTCAAGGGATTCTCCTACCTCAGCCTCCCAGGTAGCTGGGATTACAAGCACATGGCACCATGCCTGGCTAATTTTTGTATTTTTTCAGTAGAGGCAGAGTTTCACAATGTTGGCCAGGCTGGTCTTGAACTCCTGACCTTAAAGTGATCTGCCTTCCTCAGCCTCCCAAAATGCTGGGATTATAGGTGTGAGCCACCATGCCTGCTCCCTCCAGGTAATCTCTGTGAATACTCACTGAAGTGTGAGAATCTCAGTCCCAGCTTTGTTATTCAGAGCCATCCTCACAGTGGGCCTGCTCTTCAGTAGGCCCAGCACTGGGGCCCCCACTGTTTTGTGACACCAGGATTGGGCTCCCGAGTAGTAGAGCACAGAGGGCACAAAGCCATTGGAAGGCACCCCAGTGCTCAGCCACGTTTCCCTTTACAACAGGGTGGAGGGTGGGGTGGGGTGCTTCCCTCTTTGGACTAGGAAACCAAAGTGATGGTGATGATTGTCGTCATTAGTTTTTGGTTAATGACAATAATGAAAAATTGTTGTCACTCAGCTTGGAGTGCAGTGGAGCAATCATAGTCGTAACCTCCTACTCCTGGGCTCAAGTGATCCTCCCACCTCAGCCTCCCAAGTAGCCGGGACTGAGGTGCATGCCACATGCCCAACTAGTTTTTGTATTTTTTGTAGAATTGGGTTCTTGTTATGCTGTCCAGGCTGGTTGCAAACTCCTGGCATCAAGCAATTTCTCCATCTCAGCCCCGCAAAGTGCTGGGATGACAGGCATGAGCCACTATGCCAGCCTAAAGTGATTATTTGTTATATCCAAAGCTCTTATTTTGCAATAAGGAAAAAAGTAGGCCAAGAAAAGGAAACTGATTCTGGAAAGTCACACAAATGATTAGCAGGCTTGGGATGGGCATGAGCAAGGCATGAGGACTGATGAGTCAGACACACTGTTTATGGTTTTTGTTGTGTGTTTATTTAATTTAATTTAATTTTTTTTTTTTTTGAGACAGAGTCTCGCTCTGTTGCCTAGGCTGGAGTCCAATGGCACAACCTCGGCTCACTGCAACTGCTGCCTCCTGGGTTCAAGCGATTCTCCTGCCTCAGCTTCTAGAGTAGCTGGGATTACAGGCACCTGCCACCACCAGCCTGCCCCCGCTATTTTTGTATTTATATTTATTTATTTAGAGACAAAGTTTCACTGT